CTGAATCGATTGGCATAAAGGTCAAAGTTTGTATGACAAATAATAACTGTCACTTTTTACATGTCAGCCATTTTGATAAATGAGACATATTAACAAGCACCAGCTGATATGAATTTAACGTATGATTGAAGGCTAGTGTCATTGTTGTGCCAAATTTTCTGGTATACTTTTCCATTGACCAATGTGGTAAGGAGACAATGAAACGCGTATTCCTTTTTAAAAGGCCGGCAACGTACCTGTTATTCCTCTAGTGTTGCGGGTGTCCATGAGCAGCGCTGGTCATTTACCATCAGGTGATTCGTCTGCTCGTTTGCCTTCTATTCCACAAAAAAGCCAAATGACACTTTTTCGGCAATCCTTCGCTTCGTTACTATTACTATTAAAACTACTATAATAGTAAGAATATGTAGTAAATTAGCACAAAGGTCGATTTAAACATCGCAGAACATTATTTGCGAACATGTCCATATTATTCAAACATCGCATCGTTACAATGTCATTATTTCGATTTAACCGACGATTTCACCCCATGCATTGTTAGTATTCTGTACACATTGTGACGATTGCTTCTTTACCTTATTGTCATTTTATTGTGTAAAAACGCATTACCGTTTGTTGTTTTGTGATTATAAACCTTATTTTAATCGCCTGTCTTGTTGCTTGGATGGTCGAGTGACCACAAGAACCACTGAGGTTAGGCAGGTTTCATTCCTTGGTCAAGACAGATCAAAGTACCTACTATAGAGATATTCTATTTTTGAGTTTTTGAATAATAGGTAACACAGTTTGGAATTGCACTCGGTGCATGGTATGTGATCTCGTGTTGGATAGTAGATGGCAGCACCCCAGAAAACATAGGATTCATTTTCTTTCATGAGGTTATTTAAGTATTTGATGAAAAGTGAATGTTACTCATTTTATTCGTGCTTCTATAGCTACCCTCTTCGGGGAACTGATATGCGTGATTATCAAGTATTTAATACACGTGTAAAAATCTAATACGTAAGTACCATTTGTAGCTTTACGATTGTAACATTATTGTAATCTCTGCGAAGTGTGAATCAGCTTTAAGTTATATTAATATTCATGTTTCTAGCAAGTGAACGTCCCTGCTTAGTTACAAACTCATCTACCTCTATAGGTATAAGTAGACGTAGTTGCAACGAGATTTGCACATTGTAATTTATACATTGCGCGTTGACTTTAATCTAATTTATTGTTTGTCTCTAGAAAACAAGCAATGTATATTCAAATCAATAATGTTACGTGACTAGATTATTTTTAGAATAGAATACTACTAAGTTTTAGTATTAATTGTAAGCGAAATCACGTTTGACGGGTGTCGTGTAACTTTCGTATGTTTTAAAAATAACAACAATTAGCATTTTATAACAATATCTTCATATTAGAAGCAATATGGTTTTTATTAAGGTTTTTTGTAATTTTATATATTTACAAGATGTGCTATAAAATAACAAAAACAAAATAACACAGGACAGATTCTAAAGGGTAATTCAACATTTTAAACGTTCCACCGTCTTTACTCACAATGTTCATTTGTTTATCTAAATACTTTCCGTAAAATCCTTTAACAGTTCTCTAATCATGTTCCACAATACCAGAAACACTTCCGACTTGACTCAGATACTAATATAGACATGAGATATCCACTAGCCGTACCTTTTCTGAGAATCATCCTTCAGTTTAGCACTTAAATTGCGGTTATATAGGCTTAGACACTTATCAAAACCCACATTGACCGCAGCGATAAGGTTATCAAAACTATCTACTACCAAATATAGTTTTATACGTTTGTACATTATTTATTTTTAATATAGGAAGACGCCTTCTAAACAAATATAAACATAGCATAACGCCTTTTCTTCCCTAAGGGGTAGGCAGAGGTGGACATTAGGGCACTTAATGCCACTGTACAATGTAACACCCACTTTTCACTATTTATGTTATGAGTCCCATGTAATAAGGGGTGAGCCTATATATAGATTTTTTTTTAAAAACCCAGTAATACTTTGCCCTATCCGGGAATCGAACCCGAGACCCCTTGCCCGGCCAGTAGCACTTGCGACCACTCGGCCAATGAGGCATAAATAAGCACAAATATTCATAAATAATATCTAAATGTTATGTTATGTAGTAAAAAACTTGAAATGTATAAAAAATGCTGGCTGGTAACATTTATTTTCCGTGTTACTTATTTAAAATTAGAATGTTTATAATTTTGGCGCTTTTCTCCAAACATTTGCAATTACGTCACTAATGCAAAAATGCAATAATCATAATTTATATTTTATTAATAAGTATAGATAATAACATAACATAACATAACATCACGCCTTTTATCCTCGAAAGGGTAGGCAGAGGTGCACATTATACCACTGTACAATGTGACACCCACTTTTCACTATTTATGTTATGAGTTACATGTAATAGGGGGTGAGCCTATTGCCATATACCGGGCACAATTCCAGACTCCGTGCTACTACTGAAAATTTTTAAAAACCCCAGTAATACTTTGCTCGACCCGGGAATCGAACCCGAGCGACCACTCGGCCAACGAGGCAGTTAGTCAAGGCAGTATAGATAATAATAAATGTACATATTCCGGTGAATTGAGAATCTTATCATATCGAAACACTGAGTAAGATACTTTCAATAATTAATTGAATAAATTCAATTTTAACTGCAAATAACAATTGGGTACTTTCTCTAATCAAAAATAAATTATTTCGACTGTTCAAAACAATAAAATGTTGAAAAATAATCACATTGTCATTCATTTATTTAATGACAAACTTAATTTTAGTATTCATCCAGCAATATTTTATGAAATAAGTATGTATGCTGTTTGACGCTATAAAAAGGTGACGTCACAATACACAATATCGTACAAAATTCATAGAAAAATGTTGCTTTTTACAGTTCGAAAAAGTATTGAATTTGACTAGTTGGTAAAAGTACCCAATTTGCAAACATATCATAGGTATTATATCCCTATTACATTGTGTATACCAGTCAGTTGATATGTTAATTTAATTTTGTATGGAGGCCACATTTTATGGGATATTACATCGTGTAATGTAATTAGGTTAACTGTTTATTGCTAATATTACAACGCCTATACACACCGCTATATGCACATCAAACTATACAAAACCAATTTATTATGATCTCTTTTTGTGGGATCTTTCCGCACATTTGAGGGTCAGGTTATACTGGAAAGGTATAGCTCGTTGTTTAGTTTACCTTCGAGCTTCATCTTTGATACAAGGTTTATGTCATGTATGTACGATTTGCTCTAGTTACAATCTTAAAAAGGATATTTTATGTCTAAACCTACACTAAGAAGTCATTGCGTGTGCGTTTAAGCTGGTGATTTTGTTTTAAATGTAGGTAGCACAACAAGATTGTTTATTAATCAGTATATTAACATTTTAAATATAGCCATTAAGTTTTGTATTTAAAAAAAGGACAATATATTCATCTGCTTTGACTGAACGGATGAGTAAACATGTACAGTTAAAAAAGTTTACGAAATGAACCAAAATGCACAAATTTGCGTACCACGAAAAGATAGACAAGTCGTCCTTAATTAAAGTGGAAAGCCCATAACTTTACAATAACGCGTCTGCTCCACACCTTTAAGGATATTAATCATTTCTGAAATTGTTGACATGGGTGTAAAATGTCAGTTTAATGATTAAGTCAGAAATTACAGGTGACACCACCTCGCCTTGTATGTAAACTTCCGCGTAAAACACCTCAAGAAGTTAAAGTTCATCAACCTTTTAGCTCTAAAATGCTGTGGTATAGGGTAAAGGCTGTTTTTATGTTTTAACGTTGTCAATAAAGAACATTTAAAAGCCCTTCCAGTATAAGGAACATTAAATACATTTGACACGGAACTTTTTCAAGATGCCTAAAAAAATAGTGAGACTGGCTGGTTATATTTTTTTACTAATTCACAAAAATATGCATGTAATATAATCTGTATTAATTCAAAATAAGAACACCACATTCACGTTATTTTCAGTCGTCATTTACTCAAAATATGTAGGTACTCAAATTATATTACATAATTTTTCTTTTGTTAATGAAAAAAATCGCTATTATTAAAAGTTATTATTGTTAAATGTTATTATTAAAAGTTCAGAAACTATAAAATTGGAAGCTGACGACTCTTTTGAGGTGATACTTAAATAGGTATGTCATTCAAGTAAATAATTTATCGTCAATTTGTACTTAATTATTTAAAAATGATTTAAAATTGCCTAAAATGATTAGATTTTGTGAAATCTTGTAAACTATTAATGACTCGGGCTTAAATTTGTCGGAGACGTACAAAGAGATCCTAGATACCCAGCAATGATGTTCTGTTTCAAATGTGCCACCTACACATTTCCTTCATAGTACGTGTTGTGTACATTTATTTAATCCTCATACAATTTATCTTTTATTTATCTGTTAGACAGTATGAAAGATCGTGGTTATGACGCTATGGGCACGGTTATGGTCACTATGTAATTTACACTTTATCGAAGTGTAGACAACTCGTAGTCACCCCGTATAGCCACGGCGTAGTCGCAGCGTAGGTCTTACGTACCCATGCGTACGGCGCGTCGCGTTCCGCGCGCTCTTCAAAGAGCCATCAGACCACCACAGATAGGGCCCAGTAGGGCTGATGCCCGATACGGAGCCGCGGAAGGTCTAACGGGTTGCCGGGGCTCGAAGAGCAGGAGTAGTAACGGGGTGGTTTTTAGTCAGTAAGAGTCTGACACTCCCCTCTCGCCAACCTAAGGCGAGAGAAGCCAATGGATGATTTCCCCCGTCAAAAAAAAGCCTAGGTCTTACGTAAAAGTATAACGTAAGACACCATTAATTTTAACGTATTTTATTGTTAGTTTATAATCGTGATTGTTTTTGTTCTTTATCTTACTTTTATTTACAATTGATTTATATTTTTCAGGTTCTAAAAAAATAAAATGGCGGCGCCGGATACGGTAGGGAGTCGAATATGGCTCCTGATTATATTGGTGTCAACACTGCAAGTTTTAATACCAGTGTTCTGTGATCCAGGTGAGTTTACTGTTTTATTATATTGGACTCGCAATTACATAATAATATGTATTATACAAATACAAGAACAGCGTTCGGTAGCACATAAATCAGTTAATTTTGAATAATATTTCGTTTCGCTCCTACAAATCGTAACCCGATATATTCCAATCGCCATTTATAAACAGACCCGTAACATAAATAAATATTTTAATCATTATAATTTTATTGATTCAGAAAAACATAATAAACGTCTTTTTAGGTACCTTTATACTTGGTGGATATTAAATTATTGGTCTGGTTAAAAATACATGTTCTTAGTAAACTTAAGAACCGAAAAGGTATTCAATTAAACATGTACCTTACATATATTCACAAACATCAATAGACATAATTATGACATGTTATATACGTACTGTACTGTTCTGTACCTACCACAAATTATGTTGTCATCATAAACTTTTATTTCTAACAATCAATTACTACAAATAATATAATGGTCGATAATTAACTAAATTCGCATGTGAAATATTTCTATTGCTAAGTTAAAAGTCCAAAGTTATACGAGTATTTAGTTTTTTAATAATATAATGAGACTTGTGTGGGCGTTTTCTCTTAATGACGTCTTTCGAATGTTTATAAAAGATTCTGATAATTATATTACAATAGTTTATACTAATAGACTTTGACTACAAATTAGACATAATTTCTCATATTGGTAGTATTGGTATAAATATCTAAGTTATATACCCGCTAGAAAAAAGGCCATCTGGGGCTAACCTGATAGGTATTTGGTTTCTTTCTCGTAGCCTCGTGACTACATGTCTGACGATAAAAATCAGAAGAATATCCCAGCACTACATAAAAAATATATGTGCCTAACGTAAATAAGTTGCTAGAAATGTTTTTGTAATAACTAGTCAGTTAATTCAAGTTGCTAAGACTTTATTAATTTGGTTTCATTAAATCCGACACTTCAAATTCAGCAATCGTTCTTTGATGACGAGTCAATTAAAATGTTATAATTTTTATTTTTATTTCTGAAATAAGCAATCTTCAATGTTTTGTTAATTTAATGCAACTTACAAGTACTTTTTTATTTGCAATTGTTTTTTTTTAACCACATAATCCATAATAAATATTATGCATTTTAAAAAGTACACAAATAACATTTAATGAATACATTATAGCAAATCTAGTATTTGGTGTAGAACCTTGAAATATAATTGGAATTTATTTTATTATACGGATTTTAATTTATGATTTTGTTTATTATATTTCGGCCTTCTTAACATCTTAAGTATGTGCAATAGAATTTTTTTGTATTTGTGCCAGTGTTTTAATTTAATAATGGCAAATATATTTTTTAATTTCTCTCTAAGTCACGAATGTACTTTTTACAATTTTCTGAGCGCGAGATCTCGTAGAGCAGTACGAATTATTTTAAATTATCAAATACCAAACAATTTTTATCCGTCTCCGACTGCCTCGTTGGCTGAGTGGTCGCAACTACCGGACAAGGGGTCTCGGGTTCGATTCTACGGTCTGGCAAAGTATTACGGTAGTATCATCAGTAGTAGCACGAAGTCTGGAATTGTGTCCGGTATATGGCAATAGACTCACCCCCTATTACATGGGACTCATAACATAAATAGTGAAAAGTGGGTGTTACATTGTACAGTGGCATTTAGTGCCGTAATGTGCACCTCTGCCTACCCCTTCGGGAATAAAAAGGCGTGATGTTATGTTATGTTTATGTTATGTTTTTATCCGTCACAAAAATGCACCTAAACAGACTATTTATAGTTTTAAATTTTCTCCATAACAACATATTCTAATGACTTAATTAGATCCGTAATCTGATTACGTAGATTTACAACATTAATTGATTCCAGTTGGCAATGTAAATGATAAATATTATTGCTAAAGACAACAGGCGGATGTGTAAAATACGCCTGCATACACGGACTTGGCAACTTGGTTTATGCATGAACAAAGTATTTTAGTCCTTCAGGTATAATACACAGGATATATATTGCTGTACACTTTTAAATCCTGTGGCATATTACTTAGGTTATCTTTACAACAAGGATGTGTACTGGTTACTGTGTGTTTATTGTCACCAAGTACATCCCGCGTGTGAGTCGGTCACGAATTGTGATTACGAGCTAGTGTATTTTATCGAGAACGTTCATGTTGTGTGAGCAAGATTCACATGGAACTGTTGATATTGAGATTGAACGATTGGGAAAATATATAAATAAATAACGACTACCGTTTCAGTCTACAAGATGCCATTCTTTCTTCCTTTTTCTTTCTTTATTAACACGTTAAACGCCATGCATGGGGGTCACCGGTGACCGGCGTTAGCGGAGGATTTACCTTCAACAGTTTTTTATTGGCAGTCAAAGTCTTAAAAAATAACGTTTACCCACCCTAGAGTTTTCTTCTGTGTCATGAGTACGGTTGTAAACATACAAGTTTACATACACATGATACCCAGACCCGGAAGCACGATATGTGGATCGCACAAAAAGTTGTTTCCTGCAAGAATCAAACCCGCGACACGTTGCGCGGCAGCTAGTTGGCAGTTACCTCGCCAACCGTGCAGTCAAATACGTGATTTTATGTTGACAGAAGTGATTTAAAGTGATTTAATCTCATTATCGATGTAATATTGGTTTATAGAAGACGGCCAAAATGTTTGAAAACTCAAAAGAAGTAGATGAAGTGGTATGCTATGCTGCTATATAAATAAATTAAATTCCTTTTTACTTATAATCATACTATGAGTTGCATCCTATTTATCAAGGAAAACGCTCGATAAGCCAATCGATGCAATGATCTCTTAGTAAAATATCCTTGAAATGCATTTCACAACAATCGTGCGCGATGCCCTGTGGCGTACTTATGAATCACGGAATAATGACTTATGCTGCTTAGATACAATAAACAATCAACTACCTCATTGCACTAGCGGTCGAAATCACGACTGCTGAACTTGAGGTCAAAGGGTTCCATTTAGTAATATGAAATCTTCTTTGTTTTGAAGAGTTACCACTATCAAGTTTGCTTCGAGCTGATCGTTAGCTTTACTTTTCGTCAATACTAGAGGTAAAATTACATGTAATCAGTAGTACATAATTGAACGAAATCAGACAAAGAAAAACAAAGATGTCATTAAAAAGATTTATTTGCATTTTGCATAGCAAGCATGCCTTATTTGGTCAGTTTCCGGATTCTATTGTATTCCTTACCAATGCAGGAAATGCAAACAATGTTCTTGGAAATTGCTCCAGTAATGTCAAGTAGTTGACAATGGATTTGACTTGCATATATATTGAATATTTTTTTATTTGTCTAGCTTTTAGTTGTCCTGTACTCACAACAAGCCAGTAGTTCATCTTTGGTGTTTGTGACAATGGCGAATCCAAAATATGTATTTAAATTCCTGATTACTCACATAATAAATCATTACAATTAAATTAAATACTGCACATACATACTTTTACATGGTTTTGTACTTCAGCGTACCAATATGACTTTTTGGCAAAACATATAACAGATAGCTCTGAATTTTTAACATCAGTCCACGAAAATTACTTACATTTTGATAAAAAAAACACAAACAGCTCTTCTCTTAACATAAGACTTCGTGATTCACAGTCTCGTCTGTAACTATCATATCATTGAAGCAGTCATTCACACGGATGTATATCGTACAACCTGTGCTGCCTTCACAATACCTTCTTTTACAGCTTAAACCGTATCATATCACGATCATTAGAGCTTGAACTGATTGTAGTGACGTCGAGATCTTGACATTTTCAACGCGTGCGCCGCTAAGTCACGATACCCGCCGCACATTTCCCCGTGACCTTGATTGCACTTCCGTTTCCTACGGGTCAAGGTTAAATAGAATTATCAATTATCAAACCTGCTTCGGTCTAATGTGAAAAATTTAATTATTTTTATAGATGTTTCTGGTTTAATACCCCGTGATGAAACAAAGGACTCAACTTCCATTAATTAAATCTATTATATGAAACTAACCCATTTTCAAAGTCAAAGTCAAAGTCAAAGCGTTTATTGCAACTAAGTGTACAGATGATGGTTATAAAAATATTTACAGTGCTTAATACTTAGCGGCCTCTTACAGACATTGCAACATTTTTAGTTATGTAGGTATACATTCATTGTTATTAACATTGTAGGTAGATATTACAAATCATAAAGAAAAGAAAAAATAATAATAATTGTCAGGTAGGTATATGTCACATCATAGTAATAATCAATTCAATAGGTATAATTGCTGTCGAGTTTAGGATGTCAATAATAAAATTATACAATGTCAAAGTATTACAATGTTATATTATGTCCAGTAGGTATAATGAATCCGTCATACATTTCGTTTGTATAGGGCAGATCGACGGTTCCCACATGAAATGAAATTATTTTATTTTGGACTCTAAATATTCCGTCACTGAGTAGAAGCATTCTTTTATTAGGTATATCTTTAGTCGTTTTTGAAATACTAATAGTGATTTTTCAGATTTTAATCCATCTGGCAATTTATTATATATTTTTATAGCCATATAGTATGGACTATTACTTAACATTTTTATTTTTGATGGTGGCGCACATAATCTTTTTTTATGGCGCGTGTTGACGCTGTGTGTATCTTCTACTCGTGTGAATTTGTCGATATTTTTAAAAACAAAAATACATATATCAAGTATGTATATTGACGGGACGGTTAAGATTTCGTATTGTTTGAAGTATGGTTTGCAGCTTTGTGTACTATCTATTTGGGCTAGAATTCTTATACACTTCTTTTGCATTACAAATATTTCATGTACGTTTACACTATTTCCCCATAACATGGCTCCGTAGCGTAGCCATGAGTATGCATAAGCGTAGTAAGCAGCCATAGCTGTATGTGTGTCAGTGCTTTGTTTTATTTGAAAAAGAGCGTAAGTGAATTTAGATAATTTGTTTTTTATGTGTTCTATGTGTGACTT